TGATGCTGCCTGACCTGCTGTGTTCCTCCAGCTCCACACTGTGTTATCTCAGACCCCAGCATCAGCGGTTCTTACTATCTTTAATTATAACAGTCCCACTCACCTACTCTCTCCCTGTAAATTTGCTAATTCCTGTTTCAAGTTGTAGCCAATTCTCTATTTAAATTGAATCTGACTTGATTGACTCGAACAAGAGGTTAACAGAGAAGACACTGGTCTCCCTTCAGAGAACAGATGGTTGACGTCCAGTCGAGATGATTGCCCTCAAATGGATAAAGTAGGTCAAACAAATCCAGAGTCCTCTGAATGACAAAGGGAGGTAGAAATTAACATCAGAAAGAAAAAGTACATTATCGCAGGCATAAGGTAGAAAGTACAATTAAGAACCGAGAGGAATACCAAACGTTTAGATGGGAGAGAGAAGGCAAATAGGAGAAGCAAAGAGGAATTATGTGGAAAGACTAGCAGCTAACATAAAGGAGAATCCCAAAGTCTTCTAAACCCGTATGAGCAGCAAAATAGTAGTTAAAAGAGTAGGTCTGATTAAAGAACAATGGGATTTACACATGGAGGCAGGGGCATGGCTCAAGTGTTAAATGAATACTTTGCATCTATCGTTACGAAAGGAGGATGCTGCTTAGATCTTGGTGACAGAAAAGGAAACACTGTTACTACAAGGGTTCAAAATTAATAAGGAAGAAGTCTTGAAGAGACTGTAGGTACTTAAAATATACCACCTGGACCGAATGGGATGCATCCAAAGATTTTGAAGGAAGTGAAGTCAGAAATTGTGGCTCACTGGCCATAATCTTTCAGTCTTCCCTGATACTGGGGAGCTGCTGGAAGACTCCAGAATTGCAAACATTCCAGCTTTGTTCAAGGAAGGTTGTAAGGATTAGCCCAGCAATTACAGACCAATCAGTTTATCTTCAGTAGTACGGAAGCTTCTGGAAGCAATTATTTAGAATAGAATTAGTACTCATATGGAAAAAGGTGGGTTAATTAGGAAGAAGTCAGTGGGGATTTCCAAAGGAGAAATTTGCTGGAGGTTTTTGAAGGTAAAAGATAAGCTTGAGGAGTGTATTGCAGGTGATACAACATGCATGGATTTCCAGAAAGTGTCCGATACAGTGCCACAAAATAGACTTATCGTGAAAGTGAAGGTCATGGCAAAAAAGGGGAAGTAGCAACATGGATACAAAATTGCCAAAATGATAGGAAAGCGAGACAGTAATGGTCACCGGATGTTGTTTGGGCTGAAGGCGGTTTGCCGTGGAGGTCCCCAGGGTTGATATTGAGATCCTTGTTTTACCTGATATATATTAATGATCTGGATCTTGGTATGCAGTGACTAATTTCAAAGTTTGTAGATGACACATAACTTGGAAGAACTGTAAACTGTGAGGAGGACAGAGTGGAACTCCAAAAGGACATTGACAAGTTGGTGGAGAGGGCAAATAAGGTGGCATTTTGGTAGCAAGAACTTTGAAAGACAATATAAAATAAGGGTTACAATTCTAAAAGGGGTACAGGAGCAAAGGGACTTGGGTGTGTAAGTACACAGATCATTGATGGTGGCAGTACAGGTGGAGAGAGCAGTTAATAAAGGATACAGTGTTTTTGGCTTTATTAATAGGAGCATAGGTACAAGAGCAGGGAGGTGATGGTGAACTTGTACAAGACCCTTGTTGGACCTCAGCTGGAGTATTGTATACAGTTGTGGGTGCCAGATTTAAGCAATGAATGCATTGCAGAGAGTCCAGAAGCAATTTGCAAGAACGGTGGCAGGAATGAGAAACTCAGTTATGAGAATAGATTGGAGAAGTTGGGACTGTTCTCCTTGGAGAGAAGAAGGCTGAGAGATTTGACAGAGGTTTTCAAAATCAAGAGCGGGCTGGACAGGTAGTGGCTGTTTCGGCTCAAAAAATGAACAAGAGCTAGGGGGCACAGATTTAAAGCGATGTCCGAAAGAAGCAAGGATGATGTGAGAAAAATATTTTCACACAATGAGTAGTTAGGGTATGGTCTGTACTGCCTGGAAGGGGAGTGGAGGCAGATTTAATTGAACCAATCGAGAGGCAGGTGGAGAGAATTATTTCAAAAAGCATATGGAATTCTGGATATGCTTGTGCCCGGGTGTCCTCAGAGAGGGAGAACACAGCATCCATTAATGCTTTCCATGCCCTTGGAGACAAGTGAACACCGCGAGGCATACACTGCTTTATTTAACTCCCCCAATCCATTTTAATTTTGTCTCTTCCCGCTTTCCCCAACCCCCACCCTGCCTTTGATGGTTTGCATTGCCCATAATGGGCGTTTCTTGTAAAAACTGAATTGGCTACACTGGGTATTTTTTTTTTTTTACTGATGATGGTTATTAGTTTTTAAAAAAATGAGATCCTGAGTTCAAAGGCAAGGAAGTTATGATGAATCTTTATCCAACACTGGTTCAATTAAACAGTGTCCAATCTGGGCACCTCAATTTAGGCAAGATAGGAAGGCTTTAAAGATGGTGGAGGAAGAATTTTCACAGATCTTTCCAAGGATGAGGGATTGCAGTTATGTGAATTGACTTTAGACATAGAGGTATTTAGAATCAGGAGAACTTTCGGCAGAGAGGGTAGAGAGAAAATGTTCCCACTGGTGGAAGGGTCCAGAACCACAGAACCTCAAATTAAGATGATCGGCAAAAGAACCAAGGTGACACAAAGAAAAGTGATTTTGTGTAGGGAGTGGCTACAATCTGGAATATGCTGTCTGAGAGTGTAATGGAAGCAGAATCAAAATAAAAAACAAAAAGTGCTGGAGAAGCTTAGCTGGTCTGGAAGCACCTGTGACACTGAAGCAGGAGAGAAAGTAAGTTACAATGAGAAAATAATAAATTTACAAATGGATAGGTTAGGGGAATGGGCCAAAATTCAGCTGATGGAGTTTAACGTGGATAAGCGTGAAGTTATCCAGTTTGGCTAGAAGGAAAAAAGGCAACTTATGACAGGGATACTTCAAAGTGCGTTGGTGCAGAGGGATCTGGGTGTTCTCATGCATGAGTTGCAGAAACCTAATGTGCAGGTAATAAAGATGGCAGATGAAATTTTGCCATTTATTGCTAAAGGAATGGAGCATAAAAGTAGAGAGGTGTGGCTGCAACTCTTCAAGGCATTGGTGAGACTACAATTGGAGTACTGTATGCAGCTTTGGTCCCCTTACTTGTGGAAGGATGTAGGTGCATTGTGGATAGTCACTAAATGAATTCCAGAGATGAAAGGTTGTCTTATGAGGTGAGATTGAGCAGTTTAGGCCTATACACTCTAGAGTTTGGAAGGAAGACAGGAGATCTAATTGAGGTCTATAAAATACTAATGGGGATTGATAAAATTGATGTAGAGCAGATGTTTCCCCTGTGAGCAATCTGGAATGAGAACTCATAGTATTAGGATAAAGGGTGGCAGATTTGAGAAAGATGAGGAGGAATTACTTCTCTCAAAGGGTTGTAAATCTGTATAATTTATTACCCCAAAGTGCAGTGGACACTGCGACACTGATCAAATTTAAGGAGGATATAGAGAGATATTTAATTAGTAATGCATTGACGGATAATGGGGAATGGGCAGGAAAGTGGAGTTGAGGCAGAGATGAGATCAGCCATGGTTGTATGAAATGGTGGAGCAGGCTCAAGCAACTCAATGGTCTACACCTCCTCCTGGTCCTTTAACAAAAATAACATCGAGGTGAAACCTTGCTTTCATAAGAGCACTGACCAATTATAAGATGAGGGAGAAATAAATGCAGGGCCACCATAAAGGGTGAGGGCAGAGGTCACATGACACCAGGTTATAGTCCAACAGGTTTATTTGAAATCATGAGCTTTTGGAGTGCTGCTCCTTTGTCAGGTGCAATGCTCTGAAAGCTTGTGATTTCAAATAAACCTGTTGGACTATAACCTGGTGTCGTGTGACCTCTGACTTTGTCCACTCTAATCCAACACCGGCACCTCCACATTATAAAGAATGAGGAAATGATACTGGCCAGATTGTTCTTGCACAGAGCTGGCATGGACTGGATAGGCCAAATGATCTGGTTCTATGGTGTAGCCATTCTGTGATTCTATTCTAAAACCAATATCACCAGCAATCAAATTAAATATACATTCATCTTGTCACTTACGTTTGGGATCTTACTGTGTACAATTGAGCACCTCCTTTCGCTCCGGAATATTTGACTGAACTTCCGACGTGGTTGCCTCTTTGAGGTCTCTTGGCAAATTCCAAGAGGGCGCTACACAAACGGCAGTTCTTTCGATTCTTCAAGTGAAGATTTTTTTTAAAAAAAGAGATTCCTACAGACAGATGATGCTTCTGAAAGTGAAAGTTTTTTTTTGGGGGGGCGGGGTGGTGGCCAAGGGAGACGGGAGAGGGGATAAACTTTCGGAAGTGAAATTCCCACCGATTGAGATGATCGCGGGAAGAGGTCAAAAAGCCGAGAGGTGAGCCTACGTCCTCTCGGTGATTTACAACCACTCTCCCCCTCCCATCAAGGCAGGTCTCCAAAGCAAAACAGCGACACGCACTTTATACTCTAAATCCTAAAGACGTATCGCTGCTCTCCGCCCCACAACTATTTTGGATGAACTTGTGCAGAGAAAGGAATAAAGAGGAGGTGGGATTTCAGACATGGAATTAACGGTTGCAGTGTTCGCGAGTAGCTCTGCAAATGTGAACGCTGCAGCTCATTGCCGGGGCTGAAGGGACAAGTCACTATCAAGTTATCCTCAAGAGGGGGAAAGAGGTGAAAGTTTGGACTGTGCACTCTTGGCGAATTCACTATTCGGAATTTACCCTCCAGGAGAGAAGTGAAAGTTTGGACTGTGTGCCGCAATCTTGGTGAATTCACTATTCCGAATTTACCCTCTAGGAAAGAGGTGTAAGTTTGGACTGTTGGCTGTTTCAGCTCGGACTGTTAGTGGTTTCAGCTCCTACCCCAGTTAGTTAAGGCAGTGGGAAATGTTGATCTGGGACATTGCTGTCTGGTTAGTGCTGTTCGCCCTGCTGCTTGGACTATACTTCACTGTTACTTCAGCAACTTGGGAGGCAGACGGGGAAGACAGCGTCCCGAAGCTGATCTGCAAACCTTCAGCTCTGTCCAGCTACCTGACGCGGAACTGTAAGAGCTTCTGGCTGTGCCCCCGGGCGGGCTGGCCTCACTTACAGACCCTGTACAGCAGCTTGTGGCCGGGACCCGGGAGCCTGCACTTGGTTCGGGAGCACCTTCAGATGTCGGACGGGGGTGTGATTGGTCTGGACTGGGCTGTCAGCGGGGAGGAGGAGGTGGTGGGAGAAGGGGAGCGGAGGTACCGAGACTCCCCGCCGCCCATCCTGCTGCTCATCCCCAACAGCCTGGGCGCGGTGAGCGGCCACTGCCGCCGCCTGCTGCAGCTCGCCCTCCGCCGCGGATACCGGCCTCTCCTCTTCAACCGGCGGCTCCACAACAGCGTCCCGCTCACCAGCCGCCGCCTGCTGCCCTTTGGAGACCCCTCGGACCTGCGGGAGGCCGTCAGCTACATCCGCTACAAGCACCCGCTCGCCCCGCTGTTCGCCGCCAGCGAGAGCAGCGGCTCGGCCTTACTGCTGTCCTACCTGGGCGAGTGTGGTTCTTCCAGCTACATGACAGCGGCCGCCTGTATCTCTCCTATCCTCCGGTGTCAGCATTGGCTGGAGGATGGGCTGCATGGCCTCTACCACTGGTTCATGCTGTGCTACCAGAAAACCAGCCTGAGCAGGTAAAAAAAAAATCCCGCGCTGAGGGAGGGGTGGGGTAAGACACCCTAAATCCCGGCACTGGACTCTTGGGAGGTGGTTTGGAATC